CTTAGTGGATGTGTACGCATTTGTCGTATTTAGACATGTAGACAAATCACACGGGCGTTCTCTGCATGTCGGGAAAAGTATGCATAAAGCTGAGATACTAAAGTGCACGTTCAATGTCTTTCGTCTCACTGGGTGTAAAACAAAACAATAAATAGCCTCTTATTTTAGTCTTGATTTATCTATGTGAGAGTTTGATACCATTTGTGAAGTTTGCGCATAAACTCCATATGTTTAATGGTTTATTTTACGTTCCGTGATTCATGTGATGATCGAATGAGAATGATATTATTTCTTCGATTTGTTTATTGTGTGATATTTGAAGACAAATAGTTCATGAAAGCATATATACTAAATAGGGATCCAGTTGAAATGGTAACACATTCACATAGACGAACACCGATTCAACTTTGCAAACTCACCTTCAAAGTTATTTCCACAGTAAAAACGGACGTGAAGAAATAGTCAAAATAGTTGAGTATCTAAGTGAGGGAAAAGAAAATCACGCTGTTAGTGAGATGTCTGTGTATATGGATTGCCAAAACACAGATGATTAGATATCTGCCGTATTTCAAATGCAAGAACTGTAGAAAAGAGCTAACATTAAGCATAAATACACAAAACTAAAACAGCCATTTCATTAGTGTCAGATATCTCTTGTGAGCCTCTCGAAGACTTGGTATAGTCGAGGTTACGTATTGGGTCGTACCTGGGACACGCTTCCATTTAAATTTTGAAAATGCATGCATACGACGGTGCGTCCCAAAAATCGTCTGCTGTGGATGGTACTCTACATGCTGTTTTTCTGCGGACGTGTTTACTCACTATAATGAGCGGACAAAACATCAACATCCGAGTTATTGAAATACCGACGGTTCATTTAGGAGAAATTGGCATGAGCCTTGACTCCTTAACACACCAGAAGCGGCGCATGAACCAAATCCACACCTCCCTAGCTTCGGCAGTAGTCTCGGATGTGATTTTATATTGAGATGTATGGAATATTTTGAACATTTGACTACATCCAAAAAGTGTATGATTCGATGGAATAGACAACTACCTCCAATGGACCGCGGAATCTGAGCTCCGTCCGTCATCTTATTGTCACGGGCTTCCGGTGATAGTCTGAAAATGATCACCCTTCTTTGACCAGACAGTCAAGACGTTACATGCCCTCACAATCGTGAGTCGGATGATAACTGATCGGTGTATCATCATGGTTTGTCATGGTAAGGCTTGAACTTCGGAGCACAAGGTAAGCCAGTGATGGCCACCTAAACCGACTGACCGCCACAAATAATGTGCGTCTTGGAAGTGGTGAACAGAAAAATGAAACTAAGTGATCCTGCGTTTTTTCTACACGCACCAAATCCCGGTTATAATGTCCTATTCCCTTTTTATCTCTTCCGGTTCCCTGAAGCATTATTTCAGAATCTATGCATCTATTTTAACCAGGTTTCTTACTACTTCATTACCATGTCCATTGTATTCCTTGTCCCAGAGTGATGGTCTTTTTCAGCCTTCCCCCAAGCCTGCTTGATATTGTTCACATGCAAACACAGTCAAGTTCCGTAAAACACCCACAATAAGCCAACTCAAGTCCTGTTTTCTGTGACTTGACCTGAATTTATCACTGTGATGTTTCGATTTGTCTCCAATTGCCTGCACGTTTTATGATTCTCAAGCGTGACTGACTGTAATCAGCCAGATATTCACCACGAGTTAATGATACAGTCATTTCACCCAATGATTGCCGGGAAAGTGCTCAGTTACTGTGGAGTAGATATGAACACATACATGAGTATGCACTTATCAGAAGGTCTTCGCGTTAAGCCGCAAAGGAAAAATTTATTACCTAATGAGATAATATGCGAGGTTTTTCTAGTGTATATAAACGGCGGGCTTGTTCAGTACTCACCTGATTGCGAGCAGAGGACGCATCCAACGGATCTTCTGCGGCAAGCNAAGCATAGCACTACTGACCAATATGCACACAAGTACTATATTGTTAAAGTAGTTGTGATTGCAAATCTCATGACAGGCGATCCGAAATCTGGTTGTGAAAAACAAAAGTAGATGTGTCATACGATTTTGACTTAGAAAATATTGTGGGTGAAATCAATCATATTTTAGTTTCCTGAGGTTGGTGAAGCGAATACAGTGTTAGTTCCAAATAGGAGTTGAGCATACAAACGAAAAACCGATGGAGATCTCCACAATGAACGACACCACCTACCTATAAATGCAGCACTCACAGACGGAGTACAACAATAGTTATTTAGACCCCTCATGGACCTTTTTAAAAGGAAATTTATCGTGTGGTGGTCATATGAAATGAGATCACGAATAATTATACAAATACCTGCTCAAATCTTATACCTACGGATGTATGGACACCCAGGTGAGGAACTCAGTTTTCATCACTTGGTAGTCGTGTTACTATTCCATTTGACAATGAAATAGCTATCCACAATTCTATCTTTCATCGCATCACATTGTAAAGAAAAAAATATGAAGAGTCCAGCATGAAAGACTAGGAGATTTTTGTTTGTTTATTTAATCTACACAAATCCGATGTGGTTAGTCTTGTTATCAGAGTACTCCTTAGCTCGTCCTATTCACTTTGGAAGAAGAGGTTTACAAGGGATCCGGTTTTCGTTACATCTGAATAAAACGTCAAGTATTGGGCTTAGTTCAAAGATTGATCTATGGAAAACCAACTTGAAGTGGCCTTTAACTCCATTAAAAAAGAATTCTTTTACTTAAAAGTAAATGAAATTTATTTTTTCGCAACTGGGCGGGGACTATATGACCGAATGACACCTTTTGTGCACAACTAACTTATAATCATAATGCATTTAACCAAACAGACATCCCGAATGTTTTAGACGGCATTTAACAACACATTCCATTAATGAAGAAACATATTTATAGAGAAAAGAAAGCAGTGTATGAATGTATACGTAGCCCATTTCACCGGGATGATAGGACGGAGTTGTTTCATCAAAAATTGATAACAGCAGTGGGCAGCCCACCTCAAGCTGTAAAAAGCACTTGTCGTATCTACACTCAGACTGCTCGTGCGTCTGGAAGGCGAAGACAAAATTCACGGTTTTGCTTATTCATCTTGTGTGTACGTGTGTGCGTTCCCGTGGTGCAACGTACATCAACCACACCAGTAGGCGAGAATTTGTGAGGAGTACTCGGTATGGTCACATTACCGGTGAAACGAAAACCGGGTGCCATTCTGTCACCCGGCCGAATTCAGGCAGGCAGACAATGGACAGCAGTGAAGCATTTTGTTCTCTCTATCGTAATCGAGATCATTTAGCTCGGTCGATTCAAACTGGCATCCTATCTGCAGCCGAGGAGGTTTAAGTTTACTTACATAACCAGCACCTTCTTTTGTGCGCCTCGTGGCCCTCCGCTCACCAAACNAATGACTTTCCTTAAAACGACCTCGAATCAATAACAAGGTCTAAGTAAAACAATAACCACAAAACTAACGACATGTGGCTGGCGGAAAGATAGCGAAACATCCACATTTGTCATTTGATCTGTTATATTCTCTTTTCTATAAAAAATGATACGATCTAATATTTAAATGCTGAATATTGTCCTATTGTAGTGTAGTAACTACCTACACCTGCCATACACAAACCTCACTCCCCCTTTCTCTTTTGGAATAATCTCACTTCAAATAGTTTCGTAAAAGTTTTAGGTTTCTGTGGTTTTCCTTTGGTCATATACTTCATTTTTGGTTTCGGTTATTTTTCGTAGTTTACTCAAACAGGACTTCAAAGTCTTACGACGCGGTCTAACCATTA